ATAATATTATAATAACATTAATTTACGGACTTTTTTTCCTAATAGCATAGTTGCAAAGCCCATATAACCATCAAATATGTCATGTTTTAATAATATATTTTGTTAAAAACTTCTTTTAATCTATTATCAAATGTAGATTTGACTAATTTCCTGCCTGTTAATTTCTATCCTATTTTTTAATTGATTCTGCTTCTAAGTCCTTTATTTTTTGTTCTATCCATAGTTAATCTTTTTCAGTCAATTCAGGCAATCGATTTGAAAGTTTCCTATTATCATTTGTAGTACCAATTTGAAGCTAATTTTTCCAGATCAAAAAAATACTCTATATATCTCATATTTCCAACAATAATATAGGGATCACATATTTATATGTAAAAACTTTAAATAATTATGGACTCATAATTGAGTTCATTTTAGTAAATAGTACAATTGGATACTTCTCATAAATGGATCTTAATTATTTAATCTATATAATTTAGGTACTTTGAAAATTGTAAAATTGTCATCAAAATTATATTGACAACTCAATTTTCTATACTTCTACTTTTTTGATATAGTTAGAATCAGTTAAATTTAATTATTGTGCCAATTTAATTTCATAATCTATAGCTATTCTATGAATTTCTTTTATTTATTAAGAAGATTGAAAACTTAAACTATGGATTAAATGGAATGAATTTGACCTAAATTCAAAATCTAACAGCTTAAAGTTAAGAATTTAATTAATATATTATTTTTTTAATTTTAGGGATTAAAAAACATTTTTAAATCACTTTACTTGAAAATTGAAAATAATTTTTATTAAATGGTTTGCTTCTTCATCATAAATTGTTTATTTAGAAATCACATTAAAAAACTAACCTACTCTTTGTAAATTCTTTTTATTTATACAAAACCACTAAAAATAAGTCATAATTCAAACTATAACTTTGCTGCTCATATAGAATGAGATATCAAAGGATATGCTAAACCAACAATACCATCAAATCTATGATTAAATAATAGTATTAATAAATTACCCTTTAAAATGCATCATCATTTTATACAACTACTTCAGTAATATTTTGAATATCAACCTTCATTTCTCCTAATTTTACAAATCTTAATATATTTCTCCATTTCAATACATTCTGTACCATATTATACATTTAATTTATAACCTAGAAGTTTAGATTTAAAACTAGTTTAATTGGGCATGTTATTTGCTTCCTTCATTTTCGCAGATCCTATTCCAAAATTAACTTAAAATTCTTAATCCCTAAAGTACTTATCTCTTTCCTGTAGTTTTTATGGTTTTGGTATACAAATTGAATTTCCTAAATATAAATTTGTAACAAGAATATGAAGTAATTTTTATTTGGTGGTTAAAATTCATAATAGAATATAATTGTACGAATTTCCTTTAATTTACAGTGTAACAGAATT